CTCTGTCTTCTCTGGTGCATCCTCTCACCCTCCGCATCTCTGGCCTGTACCCCAGTTCTGTACGAATAAATAAAATAAATCTTTAAAAAAAAGAAAAGAAGAAGGTAGCTCTGTGCCCACCTGACTATGCAAGTGTGCTTTTTCCCCCACAAACTTTCCCTCTTTGCAAACAGCAGCAGCCCATTCTACACATGCTTCTTTTCCTAGTAAAGCTGTCCTTGTAAATGTAAAACAAAAAACCAAAAAACTACATCATCCAATTAGACTGTGACTTGGAAGTATCTGTCCTGAATTCCTAGTTATAATCAATAAATACTAAAACCCCAACTGGCACTTGAAATAATTAACTGATACTGCAAGTCAGCAATAGATCTGTTGATATTGAAGCTGTCTAAAACACCCCGCACTTTTCTCTCCCTTAACCCAGAGCAAGACGTGGCCACCTCAGGCCGTTCTCTCCTGCTCTGGTTGCCAGAAGATGGAAAGTTCCTTCAAAACAGGCTTTTTGACATCCCTAATAACATTGCGCACGTCCTCAGAAACAGTCGGGTATTCGAAATATTTAGTGATTGAGTAAAAGAAGAAAGAATCGCCTCTCTGTCTTAGCACCTGTTAAGTTTCACTGGAGGCAATGCGCATCTCCTTAGGACGGAGCCCTGGACGGAGTTCTGGCCATCTTGTCTAACCTCTTTCCTCCTAGTTCCTTGGTTCAGTTCCTTTCAGTCTCATTTCCAGACATTTAAGGCTTTTCTCAGGATTGCTGTGCTGCTGGTGGTTAAGAGTAAGGAATGAAAGGACTGACCGGGCGCTCTGAGTTCGGGTGACCAGTTATCCCAGTTTGCCCAGAGCTGAAGGATGTGCAGAGATATGGCAGGTATGCCCTGAAACAGACACCGCTGGATGATACTGAACCTTTCAGCTTCCCTAGAGTGGGCCTGACTGGGATTTAGGGTTTTCATCTTAGGCCAATCAGAAGCTGGAGAAGCAATCTAGCCTCAAGAAGAATCCAGGCGTGCGGGCCAGGGCTCTGGAAGCCTCCAGGTATAACAGGCACACCACAAAGCCAACTGGGTGCCCTTACTAGACACAGAACAGGCCAGGTGGGACCTGACTTCTCCCTTGGCAGGGCAGGGGCAGGCCACAGTAACTGTCCGGGGCAGCCCAGATCTCGGGGAGCTGGGGCACAATCCCCAAGGCCGGCGGGGGCAGGCCACGGTAACTGTCCGGGGGGCCCTGGCAAGGAGCTGAGATTGCTGCCCCCCCCCCACCAGAGGTCGCGCTTTCAGATCTGGTTGAAGGCAGAGGAGAGCGTGGGGGAGGGGCACCTGCACCGCACACACACTCCTCAGCGCGGCGGTTATTAATAAATCCTTCAGTTATTAAAAAAGACAGAGTTATTCTGAGGGTTGTGAGACATGTGGAAACAGGTGTGCCTGGTGTGAAATTCACATCCAGGAAGAAGGCAACCAGAGAGCCCCAGCAAGCAGGTTCTCATCTGTCCTTACGCACCTTGCCCCATCTTCAGGGCTCCCTTGGAAGCTAGAGTGGGGACCCAGCCCTGCTTCCCTTAGTGTTGTTGAGGGGCCCCGTCGGCCACAGCCTCTGTTCCACAGCTGGCTGGTGTAACACAGCAGAAATGCATCACCTGTGTGATGCATCACCTCACCAGCTTGGGCTGGGGCCCCGGGCCGGGCAGCCCTTAACGGAGCTGTGTGCACTCTCCCAGGGCTGCTTTCAGCTCCTGGTGCTTGCTGTAACCCTCGCGGCCCCGTGGTCTGTAACAGCCACCGTCTTCAGCACCTTCGGCTCGTCTTCCTCTCTGCATGCCAGCCTGTGTCCTGAGCGCTCCTTGAGTGGGACACGTCACCCCGGATTGGGACAACCCCTGTCCCCACCCCTTGACCTCTTTTTAAGTTGATCACTTCCGCAAAGACCCTAGTCTCCAACGACAGTCACGTTCTAAAGAATGATGGGGAGTATCGGGGGACAAAATTCAACCCACAATAGGGGCCACGTTGAGTAGAAAACAGTGTGTGGC